GAATCATTCATACTAAATAGGAATTTGTGCTAAATAATATTTCTGGGAATAATTTGTGCCTAGTAAATATGATAGACTCATAGGTCTGGAAGGTCCCTCAGAGATCAATTATTCCAGACCACTTATTTATAGTACTAACAGTTATTATCTTTGAAGGTGGAATTTTAAGGGACTTTTACCTTTTATATTATTTATTTATATGCTGTTTAATTTTTTATAAGAACACATCATACATAATCAGAAAAATAAAATGGTTATTCCTGCCAAGACAATTCAATAGGGAAAAGAATAGTTTTTTTTTTCAGTGAAAAGTGTTGGATCAACTAGCTATCCACATGAAAAAGAATGAAATTGTACTCTTACTTCATACCATATACAAAAATTAACTCAAGATGAATCACAGACCTAAATGTAGGAATTAGGAAGACCTAAATTATAAAAGTCTTAGAAGAAAACATAGCCTAAGTCTTCATGATCTTAGGTTAGGCAAAGACTTCTTAGATACAAAACCAAAAGAAAAATATAAAAATTGGACTTTATCAAAGTTAAATACTTTTGTGCTGCAAACCATGCCATCAAGACAGTGAAAGACAATCCACAGAATAGAAGAAAATATTTATAAATCATATATATGATAAGGAACTTATATCCAAATATTTTTTAAAACCTATTACAACTCAATAATAAAAAGATGACCCAAATAAAAAATGGGCAAAGAACTTGAATAGATGTTAATTTGCAAACTCAGGAGCTTTGCAAGTGAAATCTTTAAATAGCCCCAATCACAGGGGGCAAGGAAAAGCTGAAGAAAGAGTGAGACCACTCCAGATTGGTAGGGGGTAAATTTAATAAGCAAAGAAACTTACATATAAGGCTTGTCTTGGGCAGCTGCAAGATGAATAGATCTCTGCACCTGTCTGCCAAAATCTTAAAAATTTATATAGAGACTTAAACTGATTTCAGTACATATATTGACCAGATGGTCTTCACACCACATTACTCTCTCAAGTCTGCATCCTTGAAAATGGCTCTCACTGTGGGAACAGTGAGCAGAAAACACATTTCAGGGATATGGGAAAGTATGAGGAGGTTCCAATTGCCTGGGTCCATGTTGCAAGTCAATCAGTGGTCACATCCTCTCCATAACTTCCTCTGACAATTAGACATTCATCCAAAGAAGATATAAAAATAGTCAATAAGCATATGAAAAAATGTTTGTCATTAGCCACAGGGAAATGCAAATCAAAATCACAAGATACAATTTCACACCCTCTAGAATGGCCACATTAAAAAAAAAAAAAAAAAAAACCCAGAAAATAACAAATGTTGGAAAGGACGTAGAGAAATTGGAACCCACATAAATTGCTGGTGAATATGTAAAATGATGCAGTCACTTTGGAAAGCAGTTTGGCAGTCCTCAAAATGTTAAACATAATTACCATGTGATCCAGCAATTCCAATCTTCTATACGAAAGAGAAACAGAAACATACACTCATAGAAAAACTTGAACCTGAAATGTTCATAGCAGCATTATTAATAATAGCCAAAAAGTAGGAACAACCCAAGTGTCCATCAATTGATGAATAAAGTTCAGTATTTTCCATACAGTAGAATACACCTGGCAATAAAAAGCAATGATACAACATGGATGAACTCTGAATACGTTATGCTAAGTGAAAGCCTGTAACAAAAGGGCATTTTATATGATTCCATGCCTACATTCACTCCATCCATCCATTCCAGAATGGGCAAATCTCTGGAGACAGAAAGTAGATTAGTGGCTGTGTAGGGCTGGGAGTGGGGAGGGGGGTGAGGCATGGGCAATGATTACTAATGGGTAAAGTGTTTCTTTTTGGGGTGGTGAAAATGTTCTAAATCAGATTGTGGATGGTTGCACAACTCTGTCACAATACTGAAGCCATTTGAATTGTACCCATTAAATGGGTGAATTGTATGGCATGTGATTATATCTTAATAAAGCTGTTAAGAATGAAAACATGACTATTCCATTAAATTGATGCAATATTATTTAAGAGGCCATTCTATTCATTCCTTATTAAGCAGTGAGGGTGTTTTTAGTTTTTTACATTGCTAAGTAATAGTGTGACCAAACACTCCATTTGAAAGAAATATTTTTTACTAAAACTGCTATAAATCTAAAAGATAGGTGATGTGCCTAAGGTCACCTATATATTTTCAACATCAGAAATCTGTCAATAGTTTACAGTGTAAAAAATTAGTATCTTCCACACAGTTCTCTCCCATAGGATGAGGTCAGTGGCCTGTCCTTAAGCCTAACTTATGAATAGTTTAGCAGTAAGAGACACAAAAATATAGTGCCTTAAACAAAACAGAAGTTTATTTCTCTGTCACATTCAAGTCTAGAGATAGGCAACCCAGGGCTAAGATGGTAGATGTCTCCACAATATCCTTGGGATCCCAGGATCCTGCTGTAGGCCCTAGGCTCAGTCTATTGCTCTGTCAACCATAGTTTATAATTCTTGCTATAATGGTTTAAATGATAGCTATCACATCCCCATTCCAAGCAACAAGATGAAAGAAACTGAAAGAGTGGGGGTGGAAGGAAAGGGGACAAAGTGTATATGTCAGAGGTCTTTAAGAAAAGCTCCTAGATGCCCTTTCTGCTGTACATCCATCCATTGACCAAAACATTGTGACATAGCCATACTTTACTTCAAGTGAGACTGAAAATATGGTCTTTATTCTAGGTAGCATGTGTCTAGATAAAAATTAGGGGTTCTTTCATCATGAAAGAAAAGGACACATTCAGAAATAACCAGCAGACTCTGCCATTAACTTACAATTTATCTAATGTCATAAAACCCTACCAAAAGCTAGAAAGAAAAATGATCTGGTTACAAAGGATCAAAGAAATAAGATGAACTAAGAACTATACACTAAATTAAGCAGTATAAGGAATGACTATGCCTAATAATGAAAAGCATTAAAGGAGACATGTTTGCAAAAGCATAGAGAAATGATCAAAAGTCCTAAAGTGGGGAGAGCACTTTTATAAGATGTGAGCCAGAGGCAATATCCATCAGATACACTAGGCACATAAAAAGAAATGGTTTAAATGAGCAATAAGTAAAATCATACTGCCTTTCACTTCCCATTAAGACAATAGACTTTTGACAAAACTGTTTATTGTTGCCTACTTTATTTGTTCATATGTTTCTAATTCCTGAAAGCCTCATGTTATAATGATTTTATTGCTTCTGGTAGTATGTCAAGCATATACATTGCATCTGGCCTTTTCTATATACTCCTAAAGATATCATTACTTTTGCTTGGAAATCTTTTGGTTGTAGTTTTTTATCTACTATGGTAACACATGCATACTATATATATCAGAAAAATACTTGAACGTTCCCAAGAAACCCCAATGTAAACAACTTAGTGTAAATTTACTTGATCCTTTTAACAATTAATTTAAGATGCATAGACAGGCTTGGTTTCTATGCAAGGAATAATCAACTGAATGTGACTGAAATAAAGTGTTCAAGGACAATAATATTTAATATGTTTTAGGAAAAGATCATTAACATTTAGTTTAGTTTTTTTTGTTTGTTTGTTACTTACAAGTTCAGAAGAGTTTAACCACAAGTATAAATATAAATAAGGAGAAGTTACCATATGGGAAAAATAGAACTTTCAAATGCTCATGCTGAGATTAGTGTTAAAATTTTGTATTATAAAATTTGAGTCATGAAGAAAGACCAGGACCCACATACACCCAAATGATCCAAACACTTAAAAAAAAGTGCATTTTCTTTAGATAATTCTATAGCTGGTATATACTTCCTAGGAAAAAGTACAGTGTTTTGTTTTGTTTTGTTTTGTTTTGTTTTGTTTTTTTCAAGCTTGGACTGCTTTATAGAGAGAATCCCAAGCAGGCTCCATGCTGTCAGTGCAGAGCCTGATGTGGGCCTCAATCTCACGAACTATAAGATCATGACCTGAGTTGAGATCAAGAGTCAGACACTCAACCGACTGAGCCACCCAGGCACCCCAGAGAAGGTATAGTTTTATAAAGATGATAGCCTCACAAAAAAATGTATCATTTACAAATCTCCAAAAAGTAATAAACTCATCAGATTCTACATAGTATAACCATATGAATTAAGATAAAAAGTTGCTGTCTTGAAATCATTATATCTCAATACTATTTTAGCTTATTTAGAAAATGAGCTGAGCATGTTGGCTTGTTTCTGGTTCCCTTTGCAGATCTACTGTCAATTATATCTGTCATAGACTACAGCATATACCATTGTGAAGGGGTTGGAAAGCACTGGCTTGGAAAATGAAGGGAGTTGTGTTCTAGTCCTATTTTGGCAACCAACTAGTCACTCTAGACAAGACATCCTCTCAAGGCCTTTACTTCCTCATTGTTCTCCAAGGTTTTTTTCCAGTATTGTGATCCTAAGGTGACGTGAGGGTCCATTTCAGATGATATAACACTCGTTTACATTAAATCCCTTCTGGTACATGTTATCAGGAACTGTCCACACATGAAGTCTGAATCATTAAAGTGCTTTACTCCATATTTTTCAAGCCAAAAACAGTAATTCAGAACTCAACAATAACATTCTAATATTTTAACTAAAATAAGATGATCAGAATCATAAAACTTAGCATTGAATCTAGAAAAACATATATAATTGAATGTTAAAGCCAAAAGAGCATCAGGCAAAGAGAGAGAGAAAGACTGAGACTTCTTATAAAGTGTTTCTATGACATTTACTCTAAAACAACTGTGTGCGCAGGATTTGTGAAAATAATATTACAAGTTAGGGGGAAAACCCAGCCCAAATATCAAAACACCAAGCCAAAATGATTCTGAATTTCCTTAAAGACACATTTTGAGAAAGAAAGAGAAAAATTCTTACCCATTTCTCCAATCCCCTTGTCCCAAAGGGAAGAGTGTAAAATTATGTACATCTTTGGTAATATCTTATAAGAAATAAATAACTAGATATAAGTATAATTTAGTTTAATATTTTCTCTTCAATTTGCTTTTTATAGCTGACATGTTAATTTCATTTTGAACATGGTATGCCAAATATCCTGAGCTTCCAGGAATAAAGTCATGTAGCTCCCCAAGGAATTTCTTCATGGCATCAATTGATATATAACCTACAAAATTAAATATATATACAATTAAAACATCATATCATCATACTATTTGTTTTTCAATGTCTTTGATTTATTAGAATTAAGATTTCTAAAGAATGTTTTTGGAAAGAAGTAAAAAGAAAAAATAATACCAGTGAGAAGATTCTCCATGAAACTTGATAATCATTAGGGAACACCCTTCTTCCCAACTCCCCACTCTGCCCAACCTTCTGTTTCCTTTTAAAACACAAATATTTCTGGGTGTCTGGGTGGTTCAATCAGTTAAGTGTACAACTTCAGCTCAGGTCATGATTTCGCAGTTTGTGGACTTGAGCCCCGCACTGGGCTCTTTGCTGACAGCTCAGAGTCTGGAGCCTGCTTTGGATTCTGCCTCTCCCTCTTTCTCTGCCCCTCCCCTGCTCACACTCTGTCTCTCTGTGTCCCTCAAAAATGAATAAATGTAAAAATAATTAAAAATAAATAAATCAAACACAAAGTTTGATTACCCACTTTGACTACTGAGAGTGTAATGTTCAGGTTGGGAATAAAACATAAAGTACTTAGACCAAAATAACTGGGAAAAGTGTAATCACTTAGAACTATCTATCCAACTAGCTACTAACCGCATCAACAGCTCATCTTACCAGCAGAGCAGGGAACACTTTCCCTGCATGGCTAACACTGGGACAACATTTTTAAATAAGAAATTAAGAAAAGCCAGTATTACTGCTTAGTCAACAAGGGTTTGGGTGTAATTTTGATGTCATTAATAATCTGAAATTGATAAGAGTATCAAAAAAAACACACCTAGAATGTAGAGAGCTTAAGGACTCAATAACTTTAAGTCATATTACCTTGATAGCAACTTCTTATCTGAGTAATTATATTTTATGTGTGATGTGTTTGTAGTTTACATTAAAACTGAAACCTAATTCAAAAGTAAATACTGTATAAGAAAAACTCTGGTAGAGCTCAAAGATGATTGATTTTAGAATACCACCATCAACATGTGGTACATGTGCATATAATTTGATTGCTTCTAATAATAAATAATAAATTCACAGCTAATAAATTAGCTATGAATTCAATAATATAAAACTGAGTAGTGTCTTTAAAGATATTTTAATCATAATCATTTACTTCAGAAAATCTCGAAGCTCTATTACTATACTCTATATGGTTCATAATCTTTGCCTAATGACTAGGTTTCTGTGTAAAATAAACTAGTGCAGAAAAATATTAACATTTAGTTAACTGCACATATACACAGTATGTGAAGTTTCTAAAGATATGTATGAGTTTTAAAAATAATTATTACATTAGTAAAAATATTCCTGTAATTATAAGGAAATTTATGCATTAGAAATAGATTATTGTAGCAGTTTTGAAGTAGTTAGGTCTTTAGGCTGAAGTCAACTGACACTCAATGTATACTAGCTTAGACAAAAAGGGAGTCTACTAAAAAGACATTGCCATTGCCAACCAAGGAAGGCAGACATATTGCTGACACTCACAAGTAACTAGCTCTCATTGCTGTCTCTCACTGGTATCCAGTTTTTCTCTACACGTTAATTTCATTTTCCTTTCTTGAGGCAAGTTGGCTTTAGTAGAAAATATGGGTCCCCACTGCTTCCAAGTTTTCTTAGAGCTATAGTCACCTGAATGAGAATGATTTGACTGGCTGCATTTCATGTCAAAAAATCTAGAGAAAGAGCTCTGACTGGCCCAACTCAAATCAGGTAATCATTCCCAAAGCAAATGTTAGAAGTGAGGAACCAGCTCATGTTTTAGAAAATAGTTTCTGTGTAACCCAGATGAACTGGGGGGAAGAAAAGAGAGTTCCTAGGAAAAGTATTCTTGGTGGAGGATTCCATAAGTGTCTGTGGTAACCAGCCTCCTAAATGGCCCTAAATGATCCCTATCTGTTAGTGTTCACAAATTTGTGTAGTCTCTGGAAGGAGACTCTATTTGGGTTGGTCTCTATGACCAACAGCATATGGCAGAAGTGATGGTATGAATAGGACATAGAAAACACAGTGGCTTCTGTCTTGGGTAGGCTCTTTTTCCCTTTTGTAGTTCTCACTCTGAGGAAAGCAAACTACCGTGTTGTCAACAGCCCTATGGATAGGCCCACTTGATGAGGAGTTTGCCTTGGGCTAAAAACCGGCAAAGACTCAAGCCTGTCAACAACCACATGAGTGAGTTTTGAAATATATTTCCCAATTCTAGTTATTTGGAGTAACTGTAGGCTGGTTAACATACTTGACTGCAACCTTGTGAAAGACTCTTGCAACAGAAATATCTAAGATGCTCCTGGATTCCTGGCTCTCAGAAACTACCAAGTAACGTTCATTGTTTTAAACTGCTAACTTTCGGACAAATTTGTTACACAGTAATAGATAACTAACACAGTACCTATTATAGGTTCCCAAACTTTTAATTATCAGAAGGTTTTGGTTTGAAATTTTTTGCCTGCAAGATATTTACAATTTTTTTCGATTAATCATACATACAGCTATCAATCAGAACTTCTTATCATAGGTGATAACCAGTGATATCAGAACAAAATGATTAATTCCAGTCGAAAGCAAAAACCAATTTAAAAACAGGCCAAAAAAATTCTCTTGATATTTTATAGGACATTTGGCACTATCTGAAGATATTTTTGGTTATCACAACTTGGGGCCACTGGGTTCTAGGGCATAGGTCCAATTTGTATTTTCTGCAAAGTAACATGTCCTATTTTAAGAGATCTAACATTCATTGAACTGAACCCAACCCATTTTGAGGAAGAGACAATTAAGTTATAGTCACAGAAATTAACTACCACTGCCTAAATTAGGACTGTCACTCACTACATTCCAACAAGAAGTTATTCTTTCCTGTACAAGCAGATAGGTATGATTTTTAAAAAGGAAGTACTTGGGGCACCTGGGTGGCTCAGTCGGTTAAGCGTCTGACTTCAGCTCAGGTCATGATCTCATAGTTCATGGGTTCGAGCCCGGCATTGGGCTCTGTGCTGACAGCTAGCTCAGAGCCGGGAGCCTGTTTCAGATTCTGTGTCTCTGTCTGTCTCTGACCCTCCCCTGTTCATGCTATCACTCTCTCAGAAATAAATAAAACAAAAAAAAAAATTGTTAAGGGAAGTACTTGTCATTTTACATCAGAATTAAAGACAAATGAATTATCTCTAAAAATTGAAACTTTCTTCCAAGAAAGTGCTATAAAATTTTAATGTAGGGGCACTTGGATGGCTCAGTTGGAAGAGCATGTGACTCTTGATCTTGGGATCATGAATTTGAGCCCCATGTTGGGTATAAAGATTACTTTAAATAAATAAATTATTTAATTAAAAAATAAAATTTTGATGTGGAAATTTAAAGAAAGAATATTACTAATAAGCAAATTAAAAACTCAGAAAATTTTACTATGGCTCTACCAATAAAATAACAAAAGACTATCACAAGTTAAATTTTACTTTAAGAACTCTGACTAATGATTACTTTCATTTTTTATTATTTTATTATTTTATTTTAATTTTTTATTTGAGAGAGAGAGAGAGAGTTGGGGAGAGGGCCAGAGGGAGGAGAGAGAGAGAGAGAATCCTGAGCAGATGCTACACTCAGAGCGCATAGCCTGACAAAGCGCTCAATCCCACGACCCTGGGATCACAGCCTGAGCCGAAATCAAGAGTCAGATACTCAACTGACTGAGCCACCCAGGCACCCTGACTAATGATTATTTCTACAGTTCTTTTTCAGTGTGTTTTCAATATAACACTATCTTGTCTTTTGAATAGTCAGACAGCAGTGAAACATAGAGCAGCATTGTTACATGTCCAAATCTAAGCATTTGTCTTTATTGTATGGCTGATTTTAACATTTATCATTGATTTTTAAAAACATGTTATCAAATATTTGTTAAGTCCAAATGAACATGAGATATTTAGTATCTGGTGATAGAGCTGCCTGAAAAAAAATCAGTACCAGTAATATGCCACAACCATGGTTTAAGGGGTACTTACATTTTATCTGAATATTTAGGCATAGGGATAAGTCAGGGCAGCAGTCACTACTCCCAAAACTATAACTTAAGTACTTCTACACAGCTCATTGTCCTTTGCAGTCCACGCTTGCTCCTAAACGCCCCAGAACTGACTTCTCCACTGTCAAAGCGGGGTGGCAGTTTTCTTTGCTGTTCCTAAGATTCAGTCTCAACCTACACATTAAAAGTTCTTTTTTAAACTGCTTTTCTAAAGGCTAATTTATTAGTCAGATGAACAGAAGGAAAAAAAATAATGAAACAAATGGCTAAACAAAATAGAAAGAAGGAATAATATTATGAGAGAAGACATTTAGGAATTAGTGCACTAGTTGCAAGAGGTAGTTTTGACATTGGTAAAGAATGTGTGAGAAAAATACAAACTATTTTTAAAATGAAATTTCAAAAACCTATATTTCTAAAGTTGCTGTGTTTTAAAGACAATTTTTTCAAAAGCCTTAATTAAAAAAAAAAAAAAAGATCAATGACCCTACTGAATACTACCCAAAGTATCTAACTATCCACCTCACTCAGCACTATCCTAATCCCAAAGGCCACTTTGGGTTCTCTTGGTTCCATCCTCTCACGTCAACCTTAGGAAGCTGCCTTTTCTTTATGTCGGACACTAGAAAAGCCAGAGTCCATGGACACCTGAGAACCTCTCTAAATTATATGTAAAATTTGTGTGCTGTGTTTGTGTGTGTGTGTATGCTAGGGAAAGGGGTCTATGTTTTATCAGACTCTCAAAGGAAACTATGATTACAGTGGTCCATATAATTTATCTTCCAAATTGAGATGCCTGAGAGTAAAAAACTGATGCCAGGACAACAGGCACAAACTGGGACTGTCTTGTGTAAACGGGGATGTATATTCACAATACCAATAGACCAGTGTTTTAACAGAAAATATGAGGTCTATCCTTGGGTCAATTCTACACATTTATTCAATGTAAATTATATCTCCTCTATTAGTATGTGTAACAAAAGGGATTCTCCTTGCTAGGCTAGTACAACAACAGCTTTATTGCACAAAATATTTTGTTGTTTCTTCCCTACTTGGGTTTTCTCTAAATATTATTTTAAATCACCTGTTACCATGTTGTTCACTGGATAATTCTGAAGAGGGAAGTACATCTGTTTTTCCATAACTGGAGTCCTTATAGAATGCTTTTCTCTGCTATAGAATGAAACATACAGAAAGTCATATTATATTCGTTTTTTTCCTGAAAAATTATTTGAAGCAATATGTAATCTATTTGCGCTTTTTCTTTATTTTCTAAAGTTTATTTATTTTGAGAGAGAGAGAGTGAGTGAGTGCAAGGGAGGTAGCAGAGAGAGAGGGAGAGAGAAAATCCCAAGCAGGCTCTGCACTGTCAGCAAGGAGCCTGATGCGGGACTCAAACCCATGAACCGTGAGATCATGACCTAAGCCAAAATCAAGAGTCAAATGATCAACAGACTGAGCTGCCCAGGCACCCCAATAATCTATTTGCTCTTGATCAGACTTCAGTTTTATTGGGTGAAAATGTTAAATGTGACCTTTTGTGCTTCTAAGTAATATAAGGGCCCATACAGATATTTTCAGTTTTCATGGCCACTTGACAAAACCTATTTTTTATGTAGAGGTCTAAGTCTTTTTTTCAATGTTCTTAAAAGCATAATAATTCAATAATACTTTATAATTAGATAAAATACATATATACATATGTAATCTTAAATATGCCAAAAGAAAGCAGAGTGGGTTCTATTTTAAATAATCATAGCATTTCTGTTATTCAGTGTTTAAATAAATGAAACTCTGTTAACTAGTACTTCAACACTTTAATAAATTAAAAATGATATCTGGGAAAATCATGAAGTACACTAAGATTCTCAAGTAACTTCTTAGTTAAAAAGAAAAAAAGTTAAATTATTCTGAGTGTGGTTGTATAGTATATTTAATTATATTCTAACTTCTAAGAGCTAAGTAGTTTTCAACTAAAAGATATTACTTTTTTAACTATGCCAAATAACAATGCTTGCTATATTTAGATTGCATATAATGAGTAGATAACACAATTATGAAAACAAAAACCTCAAGAATTAAAAATTAGGATCATCCTTAATTTAGTATTTTCCTTTAAAAATCTAAAATTACAGTTAGTAATAGTAAAAGTTTAATTTTTCAATTCATTTAAAAATTAAATTTCATCTGAACTCCTCATGTTCTTTTTTTTGTCTGGTTGGTTCATATGAACTCTTCTAAAAGAAACTACAGCCCACTTAGGATAAGATCCTTCAAATAAAGCAAAACAGTATTCCCAAAAGAATCAGAGATTAAAAAAGGATAACCCTTATTATTATTTATCAAGGCTCTAAAATTTTTGGCTAGGCAATGAGATGGAGGAGAGGGAAAGAAATGGAAGATATATCTACTAAAAAGGAAGAAGCAGTCTTTCAGGTGAACAAATTATATGATTGTGTACCCTAAAAAGCCAAGAGAATCAACTGAAATATTTCTAGACTCTTAAAGATTCCAAGTGGGTAGTTATAAACAAATACTGCCAAATCGATAACTTTCCTGTATAATAGTAGTAACTAACAAAAAATAAAATGAAAAAAAACCTGATCCAATCCACAGCAGCAACAAAATTCATAAAAATCTAAAATAACCATAACAAGAAATAGGTGATTCTATATGTAGAAAATAGGAAATTTTACTGATATATAGAAAAGAAAAATAGGGGCGCCTGGGTGGCTCAGTTGGCTAAGTGTCCGACTTTGGCTCAGGTCATGATCTCCCGAGCTCTGCATTGGACTCTATGCTGACAGCTAGGAGCATGGAGCCTGCTTCAGATTCTGTGTCTCCCGCTCTCTCTGCCCCTCCCCTGCTCATGCTCTGTCTCTCTCTGTCAAAAGTAAATAAACATTTAAAAAATGTTTTTCAAAGAAAAGAAAAATAAGGAAAAACAGAAAACATTCTCCTGGATAGGAATATTGAAAACTATAAAGACATCAATTCTTCAGTAGTTCTCAAATTTAAGTTTAACACAATTCTCAATAAAATCACAAAGGGATTTTAGAGGTTAAGAAAAAATAATTCTAAAATTTACCTTAACAACAACAAAGTAGGAAATCTAATTGGAGACAGGCCAAATTTATAATAGAATGAAAAAAAAGTACCTAGCAATAATCTTAAAAGACATATAAGATTTATATGAAGAAAATATGAAAATGTTCCTTAAGGGCCACAAAAGAAAATTTAAACAAGTGGGGGAAAAATTCCATTTTCTCAGATAGGAAGATTTTTTATCAAAGATAGTCTCCCAAAGTTAATCTATAAATATTTTTTGTAATGTCACTAAAAATAGTAATTTTTAAAAATATTAATAAGGTAGCTTCTAAAATTCAAATAGAAAAATATACCAGAAAGAATAGCTAAGCATTAGTTAAAAACTAAGTAAGTCCAAATAAACTATGGATTTAATTAATTATAAAAATAAAATATGGAGGAGGGCACTGGTGGGGATGAGCACTGGGTGTTATATGGAACCAACTTGACAATAAATTATTTAAAAACAAAACAAAAAATAAAATAAAACAAAAATAAAAGTCTTCTTGAAAATAGCTAAGAAAATTTGAAAGAGAGTGAAGAAGAGAAACTAGCACTAGAAAATAAATCATATTATAAGCAACTAAAACAGAGTGGTGCTGTTGTATGACAAATGAATGGAATATAAAAATATAAAATCCAAAAATAGACCCAAATATTTACAGGGATCTAACCTATAATAAAGGTGAGGGTAAAAATGAATTATGTAATGAATTGCCACAAGTAGGGGAGCTATCAGCAGGAAAAAAGAAAAAGAAAGTACATCCCCACCTCACATCTTATGTCAAGATATATTCCAAGTGTGTCACAGATTTAAATTGGAAGATAAAGACATTAAGAAGAAACCATAGCAAAAAATAATGATGATAATAATCTTAAGAGTAGGATGAGTTTCTGAAGTACAATACAAAACCCAGAAAGCTACAAGAAAATGTTAATAAGCATGAACGTATACAGTAAAACATTTCTGCATGACAAAAACCTAACTTGTTTTAATGTTTATTTTTGAGAGAGAGAGCAGAAGAGAGGCAGAGAGAGAGAGAAGGAGACGGAAGATAGAAAGCAGGCCCTGTGCTGACAGCAGAGATCCCGGTGCGGGGCTTGAATCAACACACCATGAGATTGTGACCTGGGCCGAAGTTGGATGCTTAACCAATTAAACCACCCAGGCACCCTCAAAACTTAACATTTTAAAATGTTTTTTTACATTTTTTTTTATTTTTGAGAGAGAGAGAGAGAGAGAGTGAGCAGTGGAGGGTCAGAGAGAGAGACACAGAATCTGAAGACAGGCTCCAGGCTCTGAGCTGTCAGCACAGAGCCCAACGCCGGGCTCAAACCCACAAAGCGTAAGATCATGACCTGAGCTGAAGCCAGACACTCAACCGACTGAGCCACACAGGCACCCCAGAACTTAACATTTTTAAAGTCAAAAGACAGGGAAGCCTGGGTGACTTAGTTGTTTAAGTGTCCAGCTCTTGGTTTTAGCTCAGGTCATGATCTCACAGCTTTGTGGGTTCTAGCCTCAAGTTGGGCTCTGTGCTGACTGTGTGGAGCCTGCTTGGGATTCTCGCTCTCCGTCTGTCTCTACCCCTTCCCCACTTGCACTCTGTCTCTCTGAAATAAATAGATAAAAAAAACAAAGTCAAAAGACAATAGGCTAAGAATTAATTGTAATTTATTTCACAAAGAAGTAATTCTTCTAAAAGGTAAAGGGTTGTTATCAAAAAATAAAAATAAAAACAGAACTCAGTCAATAGGAAAATGTGCAAAGGATATGAACTAACAGCTCACAGAAAAGGAGATGCAAGTGATTCTCAAACATCTGAAGACACTCAGCCTCATTCATAATAATAGTAATTCAAACAAAACAGGAGTGAGATACCATTTTATACCTACTAGATTGGCAAAGACCAAAATATATGATAGCACACTGTATTGGAGAAGGTGCAGGTGAAAGAAGGGTGACTAACTATCCCAGTTTACTCTGGATTGAGGGGATGCTCAGGACACAGAGCTTTTCAGTGTTAAAACCAAGACAGTCCTTAGCAAACCTGGTTGTTTGTTCACCCTACCTGGAAAAGGCACTTTTATATACAACCAGCAGGAGCATAAATTGGTTTAGTCTATATGGAGAGCAATTTGATAAGACCTATAAAGGATACAAATCTTCATGCCTTTTGACCTAGCAATTCGCCTTCTAAGAATTACCCTATGGATACTTGCACACATACAAAATGACATTATATGATCATTCACTGAAGCACCGTTTTCAACAGCAAACTAGAAATGACTTAACAGTGCATTGAAATAAGGGACCAGTTCAATAAATTATGGTAAATCCATACCATGGAACACTATACAGCACAAATATAAACAAGCTCTTTATGTAATAATATGGAATGATTTCCAAGGTAAAGATTATTGAGTGAAAAAAGGCAAGGGACTGAACAGTGCTTATAATCTATCACTATTTGTGAGAAAAAGGAGAAATGAAAATATTTACACTAATTTGCTAGTACACGCACATACAAGAAACTGATAATATTGGTTGCTTCTGAGATGGCAAATGGCTTGCTAGGGACCAGTATTTTCATAGTGTCCCCTTTTGTATGTATTGGATTTTGATCATTAAAAATTGAAAATAGAGTAATACGTAGGCATGAAGAACTGAGGAAAATATTTTTAAAAGGAGAATATAATCCCGTTTCGGAGTTGCCTTGTTAGGTATTAAGACACATAAATAAAATTAAGACAAAAAAATAAAGACACATATATAATTTAAAATAATATTATACTGATAGAGAAATAAATCTACAGATTAATTGAATAAAACAGTCTAAAAATAGATCACCATATATGTAAAAACAACCTATGACAAAGGGAAATTACCTATCAGTTGGAAATAGATTTATTGTTCAAAAAAAGTGGAAATTTCTTATTTGTAAAACAAAATCAATTTAGATCTCCTATTACCATACACCAAAATAAATATCCTCAGAATTTAAAACTGATTTTATCTCTGAATGGGCAAGAACTTTTCCAAACATAAAAGGAACAGAAGAAATTTTAAAGGAAAAATGATCAGTTTAATGATGCAAAAATTTAAGTTTGTATCTCTAAAATAGTATAAACCAGACAACAAACTGAGGAAATAATGTGACAAGCTGGCAAAAGGATACTATAGCTATTATACAAAATTGTCAGACAAGTTGGTTAAAAAAAAAAACAAAGAGACACCCCCCATACACACAAAAGGGAGAAAGAATAAAAACTAACCACAGAGAAGGACATATAAAATACTAATAAACAAATTCAAAAATGTTCAAAGCTATTAATAATTTTAAAAAATGCAAATTAAAACAAGATGCATTTGTATAAAACTAGCAAGAAATGTACTAATGTTGGTTGTAATTATCTCCAAGGGTTGTTTATAATTTAAATTTTCTTTATTTTATTTTCTATTTTGACAAATCACTTGCATTAAGTTTATAACAGAATAATTAAATTCATGCAATTTTCAGAAGATTTGGGGAACATACTGATAAGTGAAAATAGCATAGTGATTATGAGTTTGGATTCTGGATCAGCTAGACTTAGCTTCAAATTCAGTTTCACTATGTAAGTAATGTTGGGTGACCTTTAGCTCTCTGAACCTGTTTCCTCAATTGTGAAGTGAGGCTAATAGTATTTATCTTTAATATATTAGTATTTATCTCATAACCTTATAAGGGTTATGAGAATCAAATGAACTGATTAGCTCACAAGTGTCTTGTATTTAGCAAGTGTTTAATAACAGGTTCATCACTTAGTGTTCAATATCACTAGTAGTATACCAACAAAATAAATGCTGAGTAGGTTCAAAGTATATTTTTATCTGTGTTCACACTGCACCCTCTAGTGGTTCCATAAAGAAAAGGCTCTAGGTTGGATACCTACCTAAGGTATCTATTCATATCCTTTGTCTATTGTTATTGTTATTGGATTGGACAGATTTTCCCCAGATTTGTAAGCCTCCTTTGTATCTTAAAGAAACTAGTTTTTGTCAGATTTTTTTTTCCAGTTTATATTTTTCTTTTAACTCGGTTTATAGTATTTTTATTGCCACATACAAGTTTAAAATATCTGTGGTGGTCATACTTAGTCTTTTCCTTTATGGCTTCTGTGTTTTGCAGGACAACCATTTCTCAAGGAATTTATGCATTTGATATCTTTTCTAGTCAAGTCACTGGGAGTTACTTTTTATTTTCTATTTCTCAGCCTTCTCACAAGGTCACTTAGGATAACTATTCTTCCTCTATTAATCACTTAACAATGTCTTCATGGTCTTACCTCCTCTATTTTTCTGCCTTTCTTTACCAGTTTCTTATCTCAAAGAGCATAACAAGTAAACTCACAGGAGTGCTAAACACAGACATCCCAAGACTTAAAATATTGATTCTCAAAACTTATGTAGTAGAATTTCTAGAAGTCATAGGACCATGAAACAATGGTTTACTAAACTTAATTAAATATACAACTTTGTGTAAATTATAACAAATGAAATATAAGGTACAAAAGGTATAAGAAAAAATTAAGGAAGAAAAACTTAAAATTGAAAAAACTATATAAAGTAAACCCATTAATTTTATGATGAAGAAAGATAGCTACTGTTGGATCATTTTTATTTCAGCAACTAAATACCAGACCTTTGAAAAGCCAGTACTCCCTATGAGTATTTGAAAGCCATGGAACTGGAAAATACGGAATTAGGACTAGATAGTGAAAAAGATTGAAACAAAGGGGGCCTCTCATAGATTGTCTCTGATACAATGACAAGTCCATGATTGTGTCTTTTTAATTTCTTAAACCAAAGTGACCACATTACAATTTAGAAAGGGGGAGATCATTTTGAACATCCAATCCTAATAAAATTAATGCTAATATTTAGTATATTTCCTTATTTAAAAGTAAGGGGCGCCTGGGTGGCTCAGTCGGTTAAGCGTCCGACTTCCGCTTGGGTCATGATCGCGCGGTTTGTGGGTTCAAGCCCCACATTGGGCTCTGTGCTGACAGCTAGCTCAGAGCCTGGAGCCTGTTTTGGATTCTGTGTGTGTGTCTCTCTCTCTGACCCTCCCCTGCTCTCTCTCTCTCTCATAAATTTAAAAAATACTTAAAAAGTAATATAACAGTATTCATACATAAATTGTTGTTTCTTTTCTGCAAGGATAGTCTAGCATAGTGGTTGGCTCTAGAATTAGACTGACCCAGTCTCAAATCCAATTCTCCCCACTGAATAATGAAAGTTTGTATGGTTTTGGGGAAATTAATCTAACTGTAAAGCATCGGTTAAGCATCTGACTTCGGCTCAAGTCATGACCTCCCAGATCGTGGGTCTGAGCCCCATACTAGGCTCTGTGCTAACAGCTCAGAGCCTGGAGCCTGCTTCAGATCTGCATCTCCCTCTCTCTCTGCCCCTCCCCCACAGTGATCTGTTTCTGTCTCTCAAAACTAAACGTTAAAAAAAATTAAGAGACAGTGAAAATTAAATGAGATAAACACAGCCAGTACTCAAAGATGCCTACATTGAATTGCATATCAATGAAGTAGATGAATTCAATACCTTTTGGATAGTTCTTTTTTGTGATCTGTTGCTAGTTCGTTGCTTTCCTTATGGGCCTTTATTTCCTTTGGTGTTACTTCATCTTGCTGTGGATAGCAAAAGAAAACACATTTTTAAAACTCATATCAATGATCCAATCAAATGTTTTTTCAGAAAGTAAAACAGTAAATTAGCAATATATTTCAAGAGTCATAAAAATATCCAAACACTTAGGTACATTCAATCTAGTTTGGTGGCAAAAACTCATTACAAAATATCGTACACATACACAATTATACTATTTGTTTTTAGGGATATGTAATGAAGACCAAAATTGTTAAAATATCAGCCATGGTTGTATTAGATAGTAAAATTTTGACTAATTTTATTCTCTCAGCAATTTTTGAAATTTTCCCTAATTTGGCCATATTACTTTTTAGGGTTTAAACAATAAAGAGGGGCACCTGGGTGGCTCATACGGTTAAGAGTCAGATTCTTGATTTCAGCTCAGACTGTGAGTTTGAGCCTCACTCTGGGCCCTGCACTAACAGTGCAGAGCATGCATGGGATTCTGTTTCTCTCTCTCTCTTCCTACCCACCACCACACATGCTCACTCACTCTCTCTCTCTCTCTCTCTCTCTCTCTCTCTCTCTCAAAAATAAATAAATATTTAAAAGATAAGGAAACAAAAATTTATTAATTTAAACTTGAAATTCTTGACTTGAAGATTCCTAGGCTTCCTATAAATTATAGATCAAAAATATGAAGTAAGCTGAACAAATTATGTTTCCCCTTCAGACGAGATCAGGCACGTTCAGGGTAGTTTGGCCGTAGACTATATTTCCCCTTCAAAATTAAAATGGAGTATTCAGCTATTGAGTTATGAAAGAATTAAACATGTATTAAGCTTTTCAAAAAGATTATGTGAAAGTGACTCAGATATTGGTACCTATCACATAATTAATATATTTGCTTAATATGCCATTAGGAAATTTCTATGTTTAGGTCACAAATCCACTCCAAATAATAAGATAACATTCCCCAAATTACTTACCAGATTTATGCTTGTTGTTGCCATTTGATGAAGTACCTTCTACCTATATATTCTATGGTCACTTTATTATAATTGCCTAATATTCAATATGAATCAATATTTTGAAAGAACAAAGTCACTTATCATAAAATCACATAACTTCTAGTGCCAGTCATCAATACAGGCATGTTCTACTAATTTTTTCATAGAAAAAATATTGGATTGGGTTGGAGCTGAGAAAATTTGGTTCCATTTTGCTAATACCTAGTATGTGAACTAAAACAGGGTTTTACCTTTTCTTTACCTCAAGTGTCTCGTTTCTAAAACTGAATAATTAAATTAATGAGCTTTAAAGCTTTTTAGCTCTGAAGTTCTGGCTTACTCAATAATAACTATCAAATAACAGCCATTCCATCACCACTTGCATCCCTGAAAACACTATGACAAGACAAGGATTGGATATTTTTGTCTTAGTACAACATAGCCAAAGCTACCAAAGTAACTATCATTTTCAGATGATGACCGCTTGGGGTAAAAACAAATTAATAAAAGGAATACTAAACATATACGTTAGTTGATTTGCTTCAGAAATATAAAGATTTTTTTAAAATTCCAAACACTGAAAAGTTAAATAATACAGTAAGTACTATATATCTTTCACCTAGATTCACAAAGTGTTAACATTTATTCTGTTTAGTTTTTTTTTGGGGGGGGGCGCTGAGAGAGAGAGTAATCAGGAGAGGGGCAGAGAGAGAGGGAGACAGAATCTGAAGTAGGCTCCAGGCTCTGAGGTGTCAGCACAGAGCCCAACATGGGGCTTGAACCTACGAACTGTGAGATCATGACCTGAACCAAACTTGGACGCTTAACCAACTGAGCCACACAGGCTCCCCCCACTTTTTAAAAAAATTTTAATGTTTATTTATTTTTTTTGAGAGAGAGAGAGAAAGCATTAACATTTTCATCACTCTGCATGCCTTCTCTCATTTTTTATTTTTGCTGGACCATTTGACAATACTTACAGATATTATGGCATATCACTCCTTAATCTTTAGCGTGCATTTTCTTTTTTTATGTTTATTTATTTTTTGAGAGAGAGGGAGCACAAGCATGGGAGAGGCAGAAAGAAGGGGACAGGACTGAAGGATCGAAAGCAGGCTGTGCTGATAGAGTGAGCAGGGCTTGAACTTATGAACTGTGAGTTCATGAGCTGAGCCAAAGTCTGACAACTGAGCTACCCAGGTACTCCTAGCTTGCCTTGTCTTTAAAAAGCATTCTTTTATTTTTATAATACCACCATCACAATTAAGAAAATTAATATTAATTCAATATCACCTCTTAGTTCATATTTAAATTTTCCAGATTGTTCTCAAAATGTCCTTTTTACTTTTTATTTTTAAAGTACCCAGAGTCAGGGGTGCCTGGGTGGCTCAGTTAGTTAAGCTTACAATTCTAGATTTCAGCTCAGGTCATGATCTCAAGGTTCATCAGTTGGAGCCCTGAGTCACACTCTATACTAACAGTGCAAAGGCTGCTTGGATTCTCTCTTTCCCTCTCCCTCTGCTCCTCCCTGGCTCATGTTCACTCTCTCTCAAAATAAATAAATAAACATTTATTTTAAAAAATATCCAAGGAGCACCTGGGTGGCTCATTCGGTTGGATATCTGACTTCAGCTCAGGTCATGGTCTCCCAGTTTGTGAGTTTGAGCCCCGCATCAGACTCTGTGCTGACAGCTCAGAGCCTGGAGCCTGCTTTGGACTCTGTGTCTCCCTCTTTCCCTGCTCCTTCCCTGTTCATGATCTTTCTCTCAAAAATAAATAAACATTAAAAATTGTTTTTTAAAAATCCAGAATGCAATCAAGGTTTAACATCACATTTGGTTGTTATATCTCTTGATCTAGAACAGTGTTCCTGCTTTTTTATTTTTTATGACATTGTTTTAAAGAGTCGAAGCCAGTTAGTTATTTTGTGATATGTCTCACATTCGGGAATTCTCTTGAGTGTTTACTCATCATGAGATTAGGGTTAATTAGGTTAAACATTTTGAATAAGAACACTATATAGAGAATATTATATACTTTATTATATCACATCAAGCTGAACATATGAGAGGTTACGGTGATGCTAAATTTGACCAGTTGGTTAAGATGGTGTCTGCCAGATCTCTCCATTGTGAAAGCATATCACTTACCTGCGTAACTAGTAAGTTATCTGTGGAGTGATAATTTGAGATCACGGTTTTAACATCCATTAATGACATGGCCTAAATCAATTATTTTATTGGGGGTGGTAAAATGGGGGATTTTCTATTCCACCAATGTTTAAAATTTTAAGTTTTATTTACTTATTTTTTTGAGAGAGACAGATAGTACAAGCAAAGGAGGGGCAAAGGAAGAGGGAGAGAGAGACTCTCAAACAGACTCTGTGATGCCAGCATGGAGCCAGACATGAGGCTTGAACCCATGAACTGTGAGACCATGACCTGAACCAAAACCAACAGTCAGACGTTCAACCAACTGAGCCACCCAGGTACCCCTATATTTATTAGTTGCTATTTTATAAGGAAAGTTTCCCTTATCCCATGTTTCCTTTCCTCCCTTCTATCACTCATTTCTGCCTTTCTTTTTTCCTTTTCCCACCTCCTTTCCTCTCCTCCTTCTGTTCTTTTTTTTCCTTTCCTTATTCCTTTAGAGCATCATTACTGATCATGGATTCTTTTAAATTTGATTCATTACTGTCATTCTTTTTGATGTCCAAATTATCTCAGATTTGGCTACTGCATAAAGACTTTGAAGTAAGTCAAAAGCATAGGCAAATGTGAAGCAGAATACCAAAGCTATAAAACAGTCCATTTTCAGTATTGTACACATTTATTGAGGGGTGTTATGGAAAGTATTCAGCAAATGACACAACAGAGGGATTAGTAAATCAGAATCTATGCTGGCAGTAAGGGTGCCTAGCTGGCTCAGTCAGTGGAGTGTGCCACTCTTGATCTTGGGGTTGGGAGTTCAAGCCCTGTGTTGGCTGTAGAGATTATTTAAAAAAATAAACTCTTAAAAAAAAAGGAATCTATCCTGGCTATAAAAAACTGGGTAAATACTGTGCTCCTACTACTCCCTTAATAGTAGGGATAGAAGCACATTTTCAAGTTTTTTACATGAATAATTCAACAAAAATATCTCAATTTCATCAATGTAATAGTGTAAAAACAATGTCAGACTAGATTATGTTCAATAAAAGCATGTCTTTTAAATTCCATAATCTGGGTCATTGGTGTTAATATGTCACAAGTAAATATTTTTAAGATTACATCGCTTTGAAAAAATTTTCAATCTACAGATTCTAACCAAATACCTTAATTTAGTCTTACCTTTTCTATCAGAAAATGTTCATCTTGTTCCCAAATAAAATTACCAAGTTTTCTTCTTATTTCTGTGGTAAGAAAAACAAATCCAATACTATTTTTTAAGTAAGTTTGTACAATTTTCTGAAGTTTACTTGAAGTCTGAAATTTCTAAGCTAGAAATTTCACTTGCATCAAACTTACCTAAAATAGCTGTTTAAAATGCAGATTCCTATTGAATCAGATGATTGAGGAGGAGCTCAGGAATTTGCATTTCTAACAAACTCCCCAGATAATTCCAAAGCATTATAAGAATCATTATTGTAAACTTTTTCTGCTGGAGTATATGTCTTTATTAGATATCTGTATTTTTAGGCCAACCATTAATAAAGAAGGCAATCTTCAGTCAAAATAAAAGGTATAAAATTCCTAAATTTGTAGAGTAGAGGTACTCAAGAATTCAATAATTTGGTAAAAGAGGAGTGGAAGAGAAACATGTCTAGTGGGCATAGTAGTACAAGAATTCTAACAATGCTCAGTATGTCAAGGGACTAGGTCATCATTCTTTTGTGTGTGTGTGTGTGTATGTGTGTTTTAAAAGTTTATTTATCGGGGCGCCTGGGTGGCTCAGTCGGTTAAGCCTCTGACTTGTCTCAGGTCATGACCTCACAGTTCCTGGGTTCAAGCCCCGTGTTGGTTCTGTGCTGACAGCCAGCTCAGAGCCTGGAGCCTGTTTCAGATTCTGTGTCTCCCTCTCTCTCTGGCCCTCCCCTGCTCATGCTGTCTCTCTCTCTCTCTCTCTCTCTCTCAGAAATAAATAAAACATTAAAAAATTTTTTTAAATAAATAAAAGTTTATTTTGAGGGAGGAAGGGGCAGAGAGAGAGGAAGAGAGAGAGAATCCCAAGTAGGCTCTGCACTGTCAATCCAGAGCCTGGCACGAGGCTTGATCCCAGTTTATAGGATCAAAACTGTGAGATCATGAGGTGAGTCAAAGTCAAGAGTTGGACGCTTAAATGACTGAGCCACCCAAGTGCCCCTAGGTCATCATTTTTCATGATCTCAAAAGTTTCCATGGTAGCCCACTTGAGGACAAATCGGTAACATGTTGTCCAATATAGTAGCTATTGTACCGGCTATATATGGGTACCATATTGAAATGTGTGGCTAATCTAAATTGAGATGTACTATGAATATAAAATAAACTCTGGATTTCAAAGATTTAGCACCAAAAAAAGAATGTAAATATCTCAGTAATTTTTATATTGGTTATATATTGAAATGATAATGTTTTAGACACATTAGGTTAAATAAATATATTCTTAAAATTAATTTCACTTATATATTTCATCTATTTTTATTCATTGATTTCTTATCTAGAAATCAGCATTTTCTTAACCAGAAAACTTAAAATCAGTATGTGGCTCACATTTGCATCTCACACTTCTAGACAATACTGGTCTAGGTAGATATAATGTATACTTTTAATTCTTAAAAAGGAGCATGTTTTCATTGAAAACAGATTTTCTTTAATTTAAATACATTTTAATATAAGATGCTAAACTCAATTTAAAACCAGGTCAGATGTCTGTTCTATAATAAGTCCCTTGAAGGTGGGTATTTACTGATTGGCACAGATTTTGAATAAATTAGTTCCCTATCCAATCATTAATTTATTTGTATAACTACTTGGAACAATTTATTGTTATAACCAGCTCTTGCAAGGACATCAACTGTGGAAGGAATCCAATCTTCGGGGTTTCTAAAGCTTTCCTATAGAAATCTTTTCAAGTTTTTGTTTGTGTTTGTTTTTTGTTTTAAATTGTCTGTTCACTGGGACTTTGTTCTAGCTTCAGTCTGTCTTTCTAAGGACAGACACACATATATCAAGAATTGGGTAATAATGCAAGACCTAAAATGGAATATTTAAAGTTAGCCCACAAAAGATAGGGAAATGGTGTTCCAAGCAGAGAAAACTAATTTTTTTAATGTTTTATTTATTTATGAGAGCGAGAGAGACAGCATGAGCAGGGAAGGGTAAGAGAGCAGAGGAGATACAGAATCGGAAGCAGGCTGCAGGCTCTGAGCTAGCCGTCAGCACAGAGCCCATCAGCACAGAGCCGAATGCAGGGCTTGAACCCATGAACTGTGTGATCATGACCTGAACCAAAGTCGGATACTTAACTGACTGAGCCACCCAGATGCCCCCAAGCAGGGAAAACTAAAAGTGCCAATCTCAAAAGCAGTTTGTTTATTTATTTATTTACTTATTTACTGTTTTATTTATTTCTGAGAAAGAGAGAAAGAGACAGCTTGAGCAGGGGAGGGTCATAGAGAGGGAGACACAGAATCTGAAGCAGGTTCCAGGCTCTGAGCTAGCTATCAGCATAGAGCCCGATGCGGGGCTCGAATGCACAAACCATGAGATCATGGCCTGAGCCAAAGTCTGACGCTTAACTGACTGAGCCACCCAGGCACTCCAGAAGCAGTTTATTAACTTGCCCTTTATAGGACTGCTGAAATAATTAATGTGAAAGTACTTTTAAAAGTATAAAGAACTGGGGCACCTGGGTGGCTCAGTCGGTTAAGTGTCCATCTCTTGGTTTCGGTTCAGATCCTGATCTCGTGGTTCATGAGTTGGAACCCTGCATCTGGCTCTGCACTGGCAATGCGGAACTTGCTTGGGGTTCTCTCTCTCTTCCTTTCTCTCTGACCCTCCCCCACTAGTCCTATCACTCTCTCTCAAATAAATGAAGTTAAAAAAATTAAAAATATAAAGAACAATAAAACAGATCGGTTTATTGTTAGAATGAATCTTAAAACTTCAGAATAATAATGGAGAGATTCAAAACAAGCAAACATTTTTTAAATGCTCACACATCAGTCTATTTAATATATTATTTCATTTTATCCTCAAAACAACTTGCTGAAGTTCACAAAACTGGTTACGTATTGGATCCTAGCTGGTGAGCACTGTGAAGGAAGACCTGCCTTTTGTCTTATTCTCCACTGAATCCTCAGCATCTGGGTTGAAACCTGACATACAGTAGTTTAGCAAATGCGTGAATGAACAATAAAACAAACGAAGCTAGAATATACACCCAAGGAAATGTGATCCCAAGTCCATGCTTCTCCACTTACATTAAATGATACAAAACACAAAAATCTCTGTCTGAGAACAAAGATCAGTAAAGTTGGGTGACCTAGCTGGATTTGGCTAACAGAGATTGGATGAATGACCTTTGCTAACCTTTTTGCAGGCATGCAGGAGGCAGAATGAAATGGCCTAAAGCCACCGAGTTTTTTAATTCAGCATTAGCTACTGCAGAGAGATAGTAGGCATGAAAAACTGTAGCATTATCTTCTATGTAATCAAGGCTCTGATATATTCTAGGAGAAAGAAAGGGAAATATTTTAGGTTATAAAATAAAGAAGAATGTATTCAACCTTTCAAAAGAAAGAATAAATGAGGGAAGAAAGTAGGCATAGTTATCTGTAGGCAATCAGGATACCGGGGAATAAGAGAGTGGGGAGGAGGGCAGCCAGGGTGGTGACCAGACCTCTGCTTTGTAAACATAACGGAACAGCAATGGGGGGGGGGGGGCGGGGGGAGTCGTAGGTGGGCAGATTGAGGGCAGAGCAACCTGTCTGAAGGCCACTGTTATACTCCGTGCCAGAGGTAATGAGGGTGCGTGCGAAGTTAGTAGCAGTGAGAACCAAGAACATTTACAGGGGTACGTGACCCATGTACCGTGGTGATTGGCCACCGACTGATTAATGGGGGTGGGGCTGTTATTTCCAAGAAACCCCTGTGGTTTTAAGTTTGAGGGCATAGGACTTGGTGCAGGTGTTAGGGGGACAATCAGGAGATTTGGTTTAAACATATTGAATACGATGATGATGGGTCTTCAAGGCACCACGTAGACTTGTGGGAAAGACAGCTTAGAAACGCAACTGGAGCTCGGCATACTCGTGAACCACGTAGGAGGCCATGTTGGTGTGGCAGAAAGGAGAAGGGAAAGGTCATTTATATTCCTCCCCGCTTCCCATCTAGGGCTGAAAACCTGCTCGGTTCCAGTCTATCCCTGTTATCAATATTTATTAGGGGGCTGCAACTTCCAACTCCAGCTCCTGCGTCATCATGACCCAAGAGGCACTGCCAGGTGGCCTTCAGGTACCTCAGCGTGTCTGGGTGGGAGGCATCACAGCTGAACAAGAAGTCGGCGGCCCTTGGGTCACTGATGGAGCCCCCTTCGGCCACTGTGGAGGTAAGAGCACAAGGTGAGCCTAGCAAGTACCCTGGGACCAAAGCACCGGAGCGGTAAGGGATGCTCTGTTCAACACCTGACCCACCGCTTCCACCCAGCTGCCTACCCCAGAACTGCCTCAGTTCTTGGCCGACGCTGCTGCAGAACCAACCCCGCTGCCCTTGAAACATGGCGTCCGGCTGCTTTCCGGGACGAGGGGGATGGGGCCGTAGCGGAGATAGCTGATTGGTCCGAGGTGCGAAGCCAAGCTCAATGATTGGTTCTCATAGAAATGGGCGGGAAAAGCCAGAGGCAAGAGTGTGAGGAGTCCGGTCGCTACCGGAGAGCTGGCAAACTCTGGGGTTGCGGAGACACCGCTCAGCTTTCGCCTGATGTTGCGGAGACCGTTTTGTCATGTTGGTGAGTTTTAAACCCTCAGTACTCAAGTTATTGTGCTATTGTTACAGGCACGGGCATCAAGTATTTTACACCAAGACTCATTTTATCATTTAATTTCTAAATATTTCAATAGGCATCTCTAAAAGATAAGGAGTTGCAAAAGAGCAAAACCACAATACCATTATCACACTTAAAAATAATTCTTTAATTGTCACATTTCACCAGTGCTGAAATTTCCGGTTTTTTCAAAACTATGTTTTTCTTTTACAGTTTGCACCACCACCACCGCCCTTCAACCCCTTGCATCAGTTTTGATAAGCTCTATTTTTCTGGTATTGGGTCCATTAAATCTAAACTTTCAAAAGTATTTATATAAAGCACATAAAACATTTTATTATATATTGTAATGTCTGGGGGCTCAGTAACAATGGTTCCTTATTCATTTCTGTTGTTAGCTGTTTGCGCCTTTTTATTTCTTAGTCTCACCAGAATTTTGTCAATATATTAGCCTTTTCAAAGAACAGACTTGTGGCTCTTTGTTGATACTCTTTTATGCATTTCTTCTCTATGTCATTAATTTCTGTTCTTATAATCTCCTTGGTTTTCAATTACTGTTCTATTAATTTCTTGAAAGAGATGAGTGATTTTCATTCTTAATTTCCTAATATGTGCAGATAAGGCTATAAATTTCCTTAAAACTGTGTGTCACAGTTTTAAAGGTTTCATTTTTTATTATTGTTCAATTAAAAATATTTTCAGGCTTCTAATATGAGTTATCTGATGCATGGGTTATTTAAAATACTTTAAAGTTTCCAAACACATGATTATTTAGTTAGTTATTGTTAATGATTTCTGGTTTAAATGCATTAAGATCAAAGAATATGGCCTATATGCTTATAATCCTTTAAAATTTATTGAAATTTCCCTTATGTATGGTTGGCGTTATGTGTGTGTGTTTGCAAAAAATATTCCACAGCTGTTGGATATTCTGAGAGTTGGATACAGCATTCTGCTTATGTTCATTGGGTCAAGTTTGTTTATCATATTGTCAGATTTTTCTATCAGTTACTAAAAGGAGCATATTAAAATCTCCTGTGTGGATTTATGGATTTCTTGTTAATTTTTCTTTATATATATTGAAATCATGTTGTTAGGCACATGTTAACGTATACTTGTTACATTATAGTTGACTGAACTATTAAGCACTTAAATAGGAAAGGCAAAACTTTTTAAAACATATGAATAAAACAGGGGAGAATACCTCTTGGGCCTCTGAGTAGAGAATAACTTTTTTTGAGAATAATTTTTTAATAGACACAAGTATTAACCATTAGAAGATATTTGCAGTATGAATAACCAACAAAGGATGGGTATCTAGAACACATACGTAACCCTATGAGTCAATAAAAGATGAACAGCACAATGGAAAATATGGGCAAACAACTGAATAGACATTTCATAGAAGAAACTTAAGTGGCCAATAAACGTAGAAAAAGATACTCAACCACAGGGGTAATTAGGGAAATGCAAACTAAAACTACAAGATACCATTATGTACCCACTTTCCTGATAAAAATTGAATGAGCAAAGACATATATTAATGCCCACTTCAAGTGGGAATGTAAATTGGCACAGTCACTTTGACCAATAATTCAGCATTACCTACTTGAAGATGTGCATCCCCTATGTGCTAGCATTTTTTGGATATATACGTAGAGAAACTTTTGTTGCTGTTCACCAGTATACTTTGTACAATAATATTTATGGCAACATTGTTACTGAAGTAACAGCAACAATGGAAAACAAAACTATGGGGCTAATTACTCGCAAACCATGAGATATGACCTGAGCCAAAGTCGGACACTCAACCGACTGAACTATCCAGGTACCCCCCATGAATTTTTCTAAATAAAGATGAAAAAGTTTCTTTAGTTCAGTGGTTCTTCACCCTACTTGAACATTAAAATAACCTGAGAGCATTTATTTTTTATTCACATTTTTAAAAGATTTTATCTTTAAGTAATCTCTATACCCAACATGGGTCTTGAATTTAAAACCCTGAGATCAAGAGTCACACACTCCACTGAGTGAGTCAGCCAGGTGCCCTTCATCTGAGAGCTTTTTGAACTATAAATGCCCAGACCCCACCTGTTAGAGATTTTTATTTAATTGGTTTTAGGTGGCATCCCAGCATCTGAATTGAAGTCTCATTAGATGAACCTGTTTTCCTTTTATGCTTCCTTTTATTTTTTTATTGAAAAATTTTTTAATGTTTTATTTATTTCTGAGAGAGAGACAGCATGAGCAGGGGAGGGTCAGAGAGAGAAGGAGACACAGAATCTGAAACAGGCTCCAGGCTCTGAGCTAGCTGTCAGCGCAGAGCCCGATGCAGGGCTCGAACCCATGAACCGTGAGATCATGACATGAGCCAAAGTCGGACGCTCAACTGACTGAGAAACCCAGGCGCCCCTATGCTTTCCTTTAAAAAAAAAAAAAAATTTCAAGTTAGTTAACGTACAGTATAGTCTTAGCTTCAGGAACAGAACCCAGTGATTTAATTCTTAGTATGACACCCGGTGCTCATCCCTCCTTAATGCCCATCACCCATTTAAACCATCCCCCTACTCACCTCCCCTCTATCAACCCTCAGTTTGTTCTCTGTATTGAGTCTCTTACAGTTTGCACACCCCTTTCTGTTTTTATCTTATTTTTCCTTCCCTTCCTTTATGTTCATCTGTTGATTTCTCAGATTACACATATGAAATCATATGATATTGGTCTTTCTCTGGCTATTTTGCTTACCATAATACCCTCTGTTTCCATCCATGTTGTTGCAAATGGCAAAATTTCATTCTTTTTATCTCTGAGTACTATTCAATTGTGTGTGTGTGTGTATTTATCACATCTTTATCCATTCATCAGTTGAGGGACATTTGAGCCCTTTCCATAATTTAGCTATTGTTGATAGTGCTGCTATAAACATTGAGGTGCATGCTTCAAAAATATTTAGTGAGGTTTCAGGCACTAAACAAGTCCTTATTACATTCTAATTGAAGTGATTTATTTTTTTAAAGTAATTTCTTGAAAGTAACCATAATAATGTCATGACTGTTTACCCAATTCAGCAGCTATAATATATGTGTATTGTAGGGGCGCCTGGGTGGCTTAGTCAGTTAAGCGTCCGACTTTCGCTTAGGTCATGATCTCGCGGTTCGTGGGTTCGAGCCCCGCGTCGGGCTCTGTGCTGACTGCCAGCTCAGAGCCTGGAGCCTGTTTCAGTCTGTGACTCCCTCTCTCTCTGACCCTCCCCTGCTCACGCTGTCTCTCTCTCTCTCTCCTAGAAATAAATAAAAATATTAAAAAATATATATATATGTGTGTGTATTGTATATGTATATGCCAACACTGCAGGAATCATACCTGTGGCATGTATGATAGATAAGACAGGGGGTTTTTACCCTGCCAAAGAGCTGTGCTAATTGTAATTTTAAAGGGCCAGTACTGCAGGTCCTAAATAATCCCCCTCTCCCCACCCTTCCACCAAAAACCCTGTCAAATATAAGGAAGCCCAGTTAGATGGGATTTCAAAGGAAAAGAAGGGGTGGTTCATCGAGAGTACTGCTGAGATAAACAAGGCTAAGAACTTTAGACTTAGAAGGAACACACTGGAAATGAATATATTAGTGAGAATAAGATAAAAATTATTGATATTTAAAGTATAGGCTAGAATGATGAGGGGAGCCTGGGTGGCTCAGTCATTTGAACGTTCAGCTTTTAATTTTGGCTCTGGTCATGATCTCATGGTTTGTGGGATCGAACCCTGCATTGGGATCCATGCTATTAATGCAGAGCCTGCTTGGGATCCTTTCTCTCCTCTCTTTCGGCCCTTGCCCCACTTACTTGCTCTCTCTCAATATAAATAAATAAACATTTTTAAAAAATAATAAATAATAGGCAGGAATGATGAAAAGGACATGGACAAAAGTAGACTGAAATATTTAAATGTTTTTGAATACAGAAGAACAAGTACTCCTGTAGACAGATTAAAGCAAGAAAAAGAGAACAAGAGAGTCAGGTTCACTGGAATAGAAACTATCTTGAGAGAATTCAAAACAAGATTATAAACTAGCCCAGACTGTTTCCTCTTTTTTCTATAAATCTCTGGAGCATTTTTTTATAATTAAAAAAAATTATTTATTTTTTGAGAAAGTGAGAGAGAGACAGAACTCAAGCAGGAGAGGGGCAGAGAGAGAGGGAGACACAGAATCTGAAGCAGGCTCCAGGCTCTGAGTCGTCACCACAGAGCCCGACACAGCACTCGAGCCCAGAGTGTGAGATCATGACCTGAGCCGAAGTCGGACACTCAACTGACTGAGCCACCCAAGTGTCCCTGGAGAATTTTTTTTAAATTACACTAACAAGAAAATATATAGAAAATATAGAAAATAACTATATTGCAATTTTTACATTAAAAGATAATTAAATAGGAAGAAGAGTACACATCTAAAAATTTATCTATTAAGAGTCTTGTGCTGAGATTAATGACAGCATAATTGAATTTCTGGGCACGTTTGAAAAGGGTTCCCAAGCATCAAAACTCAAGTTGCAATTTGCTCCAGTAACAATAGTATGATGATCATTCTTGTGAAGAGTGGCTCCTGTGTCATAGAAGACCCTAGAGAATTAGGATGACATCTTGAAAAGCTCCAAGGAAATCCACTTAAGACCCTGAGAATGAAATTTAGTTTGTGAATCTTTTCTTCATTATTCCAGAGTTCCCCAAAAATTGGGAAGAGAAACCAGTGAGACTGGT